AGTGGGTGCTGGTCACGTTGCCGTCCGCTGCCTTTGAGAATCCAAAGTGGAAACGCCAAGGAGGCAGCTGGACATGGAGCGGGTCCGGAGGGGAGGGTGGGAGCCCTGGCACAGGAGTGGCCGCTGAGGCTCATGCCAAGTGAGGAGGGAAGAGGCCCAGCTCTGGCCCTGGGGCCTCGCCCTGTGAGGGAGCGGAGGAGGGGCAGCTGGGGAGAGGCGCAGGGAGGGGCGTGGGAAGTCGGGGCTGCTGGGAGCTCTTTCCGGGGAGTGGGGGGAGGGCAGAGGCACAGGCCCTGCTGTGAGTGGCCGGGAAGGAAGGGGAGACGAGCCCTTCTGAAGTCTCCCCACGGCAGACAGGAGAGCAGAGCTGCTGGGCGGGGCCCCTGCACCCACTTCTGCACCAGCCTCCTCCCCGGGAGGGCTGGCGCCCAAAAGGAAGGCTTTGGGCAGGTTCCTACTCCACCTTCTCATCCCAGCCGGCCAGCTCCACCCCAGACACTGCTGGAGGACGCGAGAGATGAGACGCAGGTCCCACTCCCACCCTCGGCTTTCCCGTGACGCCAGCTGCCAGCTTTTCCTCAGCACCCTCCTTCGCTCCCCTCCCGGCTGCGGCCTGTGCCCGACACTGCCCTCTCCACCCACTGCCCACCTGGCTGGTGAGGCTCAGGGTCTCCTCTGTGGAGGCTTTTCTACTCTACCTCCCCATGGGCTTCAGTCCCCCCCGACTGAAGTCACCTGCCCGCAGACGCATCAGGGCACATGGCACTCCGCTGCACTGGCCACCCCGGAGCCAGGGAGCCAGCGGGCACCCCAACCAGGGGGCCAACCTCCTAGCCCCGTAGTGCTCCGAGGGGCGTGTGCTCCCCGCTGCAGCCCATTGTGCAGGAACTGGGGCCCAGTGTGGCCAGACCCTCTGCTTTCTCATCACAAGCCCCAAACCTTAACATTTTAGAACATGAAACCTAATTTTAAAAACTCAGACAAAATTTAAGAATTTCAAAACCACCATGGGGTCCAAACAAAGCCCATCTTCAGGCAGGATTCCCCCAGCGCCTCCGCGTGCAGCGTGCACTGCACCCCTTTCTCAGGCAGGCAGGGCGTGTCTCTCCTGCACAGGGGTGTTCCTGGAGGAGGTGGGGGTCGGGAGCAAGGGACACCAGCATTGTGCCAGAAGCTTAATTGCATCATCTCATGTAATCCTAGGACAAAGCTTTGAGAAAAAAAACGTTGGCCCATTTTCCAGCCAGGAAAACTGAGGCCCAGAAGGTGAAGTGACTTCTGGGTGCTCACAATCAGTAAACGGCAGTTAGTCCCAGCCTTGGTCTATTTGCTCCTGTCCCCACGGGACTGAGCGCACATAGGTAAGGCGCCGGCAGCAGGGGCTCCGTACAGCTTTGTGCATCATTAATGATGTCATTGTTATGGATAGCGAATAACTTACTGAGCCCCTGTGGTTCTAGGTGGGCAGAATGGAAACCAAGCAGGACAAGCTCGCAGGTTTGCACCCGGGAGGAGGCAGACACAAACAAGGACGAAGACGGATTAGCAAGTCAGCCCACAGGGGTGCATGCGCGGAGCAGGGAAGTGACCGAGCTGCCCTCTTGGCCTGTGGCTCCCCGCCCCCTGCCCGCGGCTTTCCCGGGGAGGCGGGAGGTGTGTCCTGGCTGAACCCCTCGGAGCCCATCCCGTAGTCTCATGTTCTCCCACACATCGTTAAACCAGACCGAGCTTCAAGCCTTCAAGAAAGCCCCGGTCTGCAAATATTTACCTTTCACTTGGCATCTTCCTAGGAGGCCCTCCTTGGGGACAACACATAGGGTGACCCTGGGAGCGTTAAATTCCAGATGTTTCTTCTAGTAAGTGAGGCTGCTCCGTCACGGGGACAGAGTGCACCCCAACCCCATGTGTGCACACCAGCCCTCGGCACACACACGTGCACACACACACGCACCGTCTTCCACACTCCACCGCGCTCCAGAGCCCAGAACACCTCTCGGGATCTGCCCAGCTGCTCCTCTGACCCCACCAGGCCGCTCCTGCACAGAACCCCCAACAGACCCAGGGTGGGCGGCAGCGTCCGGGCAGGATGCCGGTGAGGCCTGGGGGAAGTAGGGCCACGCCTGCCTCTCCTCTGACAGGACCAGGGGGGCGGCTGGGAGACCTCACACCCCCTCCCAGGCGTGTATCCTCCCGTGCCCTCCACACTCATGGCTGCCTTGCCCCTTGCCTGCCCTCACGCTGTGAGCCTCAGCGGACTCCCCTCAGTGCTGGGAGGAGATACTGATCCGTCCCGAGCGGCCACACTCACTGTGACCTGGTTCAAATCCAAGCTCTGGCACTTACCAGCTGTGTGACCCTGGGCAAGTCACTACACCTCTCTGTGCCTTGATATTGCAACTATAAAATGGGGACACAGTGATACCCACTACCTCCCAGAGGTGTTGCGGAGTGAACATCTAAGGCATTTAGAGGGTGCCAGGCACAGGGCAAGCACCACGTACGTGTCAGCTGTGCTTATGGATATCATTTATTAAAGTCCTAATATCTAAAACGCCATCTCCCTCTCGTCCTGAGGTAACCATTCCCAGGCTTTGTACTTTGCATCAGTAGCAGAAGGGACAGGAACTGACAGGCACAGAACCCTCTCCGTGTGCCCGGCGCTGTGCCTGGCACGTTCCCTGGCTTGTCAGGGTCGAGCCTTCCCAGGATGCCAAGAGCTCTCGCACTGTGGGTCAGAGGAAGCGGCCCCCAGTCACACAGCAGGAAAGCAACGGAAATGAGAAACAAAGGTCAGGGGCCTCCACCCCCCCCCTTCTACAGCACCCCGTCCCCCAAGGAGAAAATGTGGGCAGGTGGGAGCGTGGCTGTCTCCCCTGTGTCCCTGCTGAGGGTTGGGGGGTGCTGGCCACGCAGGGTTCCAGCCCCGCTTCTGGGCCACCTGCAAACGTGTGCAGAGGTCTGCCCGTGTGCTCTGAGCTCTTGGCAGGGAAGGCACACACACACACACACACACACACACACACACACACACAAAGAGAAATTAGAACAGCCCAGCTAAGCTGAAATGCTCCCCCCAGAGAAGGAGGGAGGTAAAGTCTGATGAACCTCTGCATAACGTTCGAGCTGTGAACGAGTGAAGTGATATTCCGCACACACGCTGGAAGCAGCCGTCTCCCGCGTCGCTGGGGCCATTCGAACTGGGGCACCGGCACCCGGAGCTGCTTGGCACTAACTGGTCCTGCTTTCGGCATCAGCAAAACAAGGCTGGCCACGGACGTCCCAGGCGCCCCACAGCCACGGGGACAGCTGCCGCCGTGCTGATGGGGCGGGTTAGACACCGGCTGCTCGTGTGGCTTCTAAAGACGTTTCCTGAGCGCCTACCCTGGGTCCCGTCTCTGCCGTCCATGGCCCTCTTCCTAGGGGACATGCTTTGGCCACAGCTGTGGGCGAGGCAGGCCCATGTGCCCGGTCAGCCTGACCTCCCTGCCACAGCTGACTGGCCTGGATCTGAACACCTGACCGGGCACTTTGGTGGTGGTGGTGGGGGGGCTGGGTGCTAAATCGGCTCAACGATGGAGGGGCTTGAGCTGAAAGGGCATGAGGTCTCCAAAGAGAAGAATTCCATCGATCACACGCACACAATTTGATGAGCGCCTCCTAGGTACCTGGCCCAGTTCTAGGTGCTCAGGATACAGTGACAAAACAGCAAAGCCCTGTCTCATGGAACTCAGCCTACAAACAATCAAACAGGTAACAAATAGAATAACGTTAGATTATATCGGTGCTACCAAAACATAGCAATGGGCTGACGAGTGACGAAGGCAGGGTGTTTGGGGGCGTGCAAATTTGGACCAACTGATGAAGGAAGCCCTCACTGTGCAGAGGCCTGAGTGAGCCAGCCAGGTGAGAATTCCAGGCAGGGACACAGCAGGTGCAAAGGCCCTGAGGTAGGGTTGAGCTTGCCGTGCTCAAGGAACAGAAAGGAGGCCCGTGTGGCAGAGACAATGGCATCTGGAAGAGGCAGAGAGAGGTCCCTGTGTGGCCCCACCACGTGACTCCTTGTATTGAAACCCTTCCATGGCCCCGCAGAGAGTCCACCTCAACACCGCCTAGCCCCTCAGCCTCCGTCCCCCTTTCCCTCCTCAGACTCAGTCCTGGGGACCGTTCGCTTACCTGCCACTGAAAGGCATTAGTGCGTGTCCAATCACTCCCGAGAAACCGGCTCCGCGATAAGAATTTGGGTAAAATAGCTTATTTAGGAGGTGGTCCCAGGAAATACGCTAACCGTCCACCCGTCCATCATCCACCCACGCATGCATGCATCCATCCAACCATCCATCCATCATCCATGCATCTATCCACCCATCATCCATCCATGCATACATGCATCCATCCATCATCCATGCATCTATCCATCCAACCATCCATCCATGCATACATGCATCCACCCATCATCCATGCATCTATCCATCCATCATCCACCCATGCATACATGCATCCATCCATCCATCCGACCAACCATTCAACCATCCACCCACCATTTATTGTCACCTCCCCTATTCCCAGCGGACACCGAGGACTCAGGTGGATCAGGTTTGGTTCTGGCCTCGAGGAGCCCTCCGCCAGCAGCCGTCACCAACCCCACTGCTGGGTCCTCTTCTCACCCAGTGCTGTGACCGAGTCCAGGATAGAGACCTTGGTTCAGCCTCTGTGTGCCCCCACCTTGGTTCTATGAAGCCTGGAGCCAAAGGCAAATGCTCCAACTTGATCCCCTTCCCGCTCGCTCGGGCTCCGATCGCCTAAGCTCAAGGCAGTCACCTGGCCCATAAACATGAAGATGTCCCAGATGTTCTGACATAGTGGAGTCCACACTGCGCCTCACCCAACCTGCCCGTCCACCCGCCCCCAGCACTTGCGGCTGACCGCTCAGTCCAGCTTTGCCTGGAGCCCTGTGGCCACGAGGCCAGACCCCGGGCCAGAGGTCCCCCGCGAGCACTGACCTCTCTCGGAAGTATTTGATGGCCTCGGGCTCTATGAAAGTCGGCTCCTCCCGGTAGCCCTGCTCAAACACCTTGCGCTTGTGGCGGAACTCGATGACCGTCTTGGTGTAGGAGTTGAGCGTGGTCACGGAGGCGGCCATGCAGCAGGTGAAGGAGCCCCACGCCAGGCTGCGGGAGACAGGAGAGAGGTGCCGTGAACCCCCAGCCCCCAGGTGCCGCTCCCCTGCTCACTGCCTCTTCAGGGCCAGACCTAAGCAGGTGCCTCCTGGAGAAGAACAAGACGTGGTCCTGCCCCCCCCCCCCCCCCCCCCCCCCGCCCCGAGGGCTGGGGTGGGAGCAGCATTATCTGCACGTGGTGACGCAGACCTGGCCGAGCTCACTCCTCAGAGGCAAGATCCAGGGGCCGACACAGGGAGGGTTACCACAGACTCAGACAGCTGCGCTCGCTCGTGAGGAGGAAGGGTTTGTGGAGGGGGTTGGGATGCTGGAGCAAGGGAATGTGAGATTAGCCGAAGTGGATGATGAGAATAGATGGGAACAGAAACCCTGACAGCCAGCCCCTTCGAGAGCTGAATGACCTTGGTTCCTGTGTGACCTTGGGCAAGATGCTTACCTCTCGGCCCCATAGTCCTCGCATCCGTTTTAATGGGCATCACAATAGCTGCACCTCACAGCGAGGTTGCAAAGATGAAAGCAGATGGCCCGGTAGGGCCTCTCAGAACAGAGCTGGCACGCAGTCCGCGTTCCAGAAAGGCTGGCCATCATTACCACCATCGCGATTAGCACCATTTTTACTGCCCGCTTCTGTCTGACTCCCAGCTCTCCCTCCGAGATTAAATTATAATGACCTCTCGCTCCACGCGTCCCCCTGCACACTGGGGACTCGGCTGTGCCCACCCAGGGTGTGTGCTGACAGCCAGAGCTGGAGGATCTGCCCCCCACCCCACATCTGGGAAGAAGGGAGGGTGGTGTGGGGCCAGCTGCCGTCTTCTCCGACCCAGTGCCCTAGAAATGCCTCCCGCCTGAGTCCTCTGACCAGACCGCGCAGTGACATTTGTAACCGGGGTTCTGGCCTTGCCGTAGGCACACCTGCTCTGGTTTCCGGTCACTGTCCCCAGTCTCTGCCTTGATGACTGGTTTCCTCCAAATCGCAGGCTCTGTCTTGTTGCTGCCAACCCTGCTCTGTCCCTGAGCTTCCAGCCTCTCCTGCTGCCAACCCACAGGGCCTCCCATCACCTACTCATTCCTCAGAGTGAGTGCGGCCCGCCTCCCACGCCCACTGCTCTTCTCTGTCAGCCCCAGAGAGCCCAGAGGAAAGCATGGAGCAAGGCGAGGATTCGGCCTTTCTCCCCGGATCCACATCATCGTCTGTCCCTTCCTGCCAAACCCATTGAAGGGTTCCCCTGTCCTTTCATGATAAGGAGCCAGTGTAGATCTTCCAGGAGCTCTGACGATCCGTAACTGACAGATGTGGGGCGCCAGCCTGGCCCCTCTAAGAACCGCCCAGTCCAGCAGGTGGCTCCACCCCCCGTCACAGATGATTGGATAAGGGCTGGACCAAAGCTATTTAATCAGATAATCCTTCCTCAAGATTCTAGTTCAATCTGGGATGTCTGAACCAGAGGAATGGAAATTCAGAACCTGAGGATGGCCCGGCCCGTGTGGCTCAGTGGTTGAGTGTTGACCTATGAACCAGGAGGTCATGGTTTGATTCTGGTCAGGGCACATGCCTGGGTTGCAGGCCTGGTCCCCAGTGCAGGCCGTGCAGGAGGCAGCCAATCAATGATCCTCTTTCATCATTGATGTTTCTATCTCTCCTTCTCTCTTCCTCTCTGAAGTCAATAAAAAAAAATTAAAAAAAAAAAAAAAAAGAGCCTGAGGACGGAGAATGAAGAAGCAGGCTTTTCCCTGGGATTGATCCCATGGGTATACATATGTTGGTTTAGCCTGACCCTCACCCACTCTGTTAAGGGACCACTTCTCCCCTCCTCTCAGGCCATGCGGTTTGTGTGGGGCTGGCCTCACCCCCAGCCTTTAGGAGTGAGCACATGACCCAGGCCTGACCAATGAGAGTGTCGCTTCCCTTCGGCCACAGTAATTGGCTCAGGATGGGCATGTGACGCCAAAGTCAGGCTGAGACTCACCCACAGGTCTTAAAAATAAATGTCTTTATTGTTGAAAATATTACAGATGCCCCCTTCCCCCCGCCATTGACCGCCCCCCCCAGGCCTTCACTGTGCTATTGTCTGTGTCAATGGGTTATGCAGGTCCCCCCCCCAGCAGGGATTTGAGCAGGAGGAGCTCTTGGGGACTGTCCGGCACCCAGCAACCTGAGAAGGCAGCTGACTCTGAGGAAAGGAGGAGGGACAGATCCCTGCGCTAAGCAGTGTCCCTGGGCTTTCCGGGGTGGGAACCCAAATTCCTGTTTGGGATTTTTTTTTTTCCTTAAGGAATTGGGTTTCTGTCCGTGGCAACCAGAGTTCTTCTGCAATTCCTTCCTATAAATCCCCCTTTTTGCATAAGTTCGCTTGAAGGTGAATGTCTGGTCCTTAGGACCAGGGAGCTTACCTACGACGGGGTCCAGCTCCCCACGCTGACGCCCAGCGAGGAGGAGACCACGCCCTGCATCTCCTCACAGCCCTCCCCCACCTGCCATGCTCTTGTGGCTTTTCCCCTCTTATTTATTATTCTAGGTTTTTAAATTACACTTCTAATTTCAAGATAATTATAGGTTCACACGCTGCTGTAAGAAACGATGCAGAGAGATCCATGTGCCTTTTCCCCAGTTTCCCCAGCAGTGACATCTTGCAAATCCCCTGTGGTGTGCACCAGGGTCAGAGGCGACCGTTTCCGCCACAGTGGCCCCGCCAGGTGCATTGCATAGCCACACCCACTTTCCTCCCAACCTCTGGCGACCACTCATCAGTTCTTCCTTTCTATAATTAGATCATTTCAGGAATATTATGGAATAGACGCACACAGTATGTACGTCTGAGATTGGCTTTTCCACTCAGAATAATCCCCTGGAGAGTCACCCCAGGTGTGTGTTTAACCTCATGTTCCTTTATATGCACGAGTGTCTCCACATCCGGACCAGCATTGGGTGGTGTCATCCTTTTTTAAATTTATTTTTTTAATTTATTTATCTATTTTCCAATATGTTCTTTTTTATTTTTTATTTTTGAGAGAGAGGGGTGGCTTTTCTGTGCACGGGACAAGGCTCAGCCAACTGAGCCGCCCAGCCAGGCCTGTCCTGGTTTTAGTCTGAGCTGCTCTGTGGGACGTGCGGTGGCGTCTCCCGTGGTTCTCACCGCGTGGCCCTCACGGCTAATGGTGCTGAGCGTCTTTTCATTGGCTCACTTGCCATCTGTGAATCGTCTCCGGCGGAACGTCTGCCCGTGTTTTCCGGGCCCTTTGTCACCGTTGCTGGTTACCGTTGTGTTCTGGGCGTTGTTACACAGCCTGCAGACCCGTCCCTCGTCAGATATGTGTTTTACAAATCTTTTCTTTCCTCTTGTAGCTTGTGTCTTCAACCCCTCACCAACGTCCTTCACGGAGCAAACATGTTTAATTTTGATGAAATCCAATTATCAATTTTTTTCAATGCTTCTGATGTCAAGTCTAAGAATGCTTTAGGCCTAGATCCCAAAGATTTTTCTCCTCTTTTTCTAAGAATTTTATAGGTTTACATTTTAAATTTAGGTCTATGATGCATCTTGAGTTAAATTTTATACAGGATATGAAGTGTAGATCAAGAATGATTTTTTTTTTTTTTGCCTATGAATGTCTAATAGCTCCAGTACCATTTGTGAAAGGCTATTCTCACCTCCACTGAATGAATTTGCATCTTTGTCAAAAACCAGTTGGGCATATTTGTGTGGGTTTATTTCTGGATTCTTCATTCTGTTCCATTGATCTATCTGGGTGTCTATCTCCCCACCGACACCACAGTCTGATTACTGTAGCTATACAATAAATCTTGAAATTGGGTATGCTGATTTCTCCCACTTTTTCTTCTTTGTCAAAATTGTTTTAGCTATTTTAGTTTCCTTTGCCATTCTTTTGTTGTTGCTGTTAATCCTCTCCCGAGAATATTTTTCCATTGATTTTTAGAGGGAGTGGAGGGAGGGGGAAAGACACGGAGATAGAAACATTGATGTGAGAGAGACACATCGATTGGTTGCCTCCCACATACATTCTGACTGGGGCTGGGGATCGAGCCTGCAACTGAGGTACGTGCCCTTGACTAGAACTGAACCTGGGACCCTTTAGTTGCAGGCTGAGGCTCTATCCAGTGAGCCAAACCAGGTAGGAAATTTTGACATTCTTAATAAATTTTATCATAATCTTGTCTACATCTATAAGAAATTACACTGACATTTTAATAGGAATTGCATTAAACCTTTATACGAACTTGTGGGAATTGACATCTTTGCCATAAACATGGTATAGCTCTCCATTTATTTAGATCGTCTTTGATTTCTTTCATTGGCATTTTGTAGTTTTCAGCTTCCAAATCCTGAAGGTGTTTTGTTAGATTTATTACTATGTATTTCACTTGTTTCGGTGTAAATGGCATTGTATGTTTAGCTTTGTCCAACTGTTCATTACTAGCTTATAGAATATAATAGATTTTCATAGTTTAATCTTGTATCCTGAGACAGTACTGAATTCATTTATTAGGTCTAGGCATTTTTTAAAAATATATTTTTATTGATTTCAGAAAGGAAGGGAGAAGGAGAGAGAGAGATAGAAATATCAGTGATGAGAGAGAATCATTGATCAGCTGCCTCCTGCACACCCCACACTGGGGATTGAGCCTGCAACCCAGGCATGAGCCTTGACCAGGAATCAAACCGTGACCACCTGGTTCATAGGTTGATGCTCAACCACTGAGCCATACTGGCTGGGCGAGGCATTTTTTTACATGTAGGTTTCATGGATTTTTCTGCATAGACAACCATGTTATCTGCAAATAGATATAGTTTACTGCTTCCTTTCCAATCTGTATGCCTTTTATTTACTTTTCATGTCTTATTGCACAAGCAAAAGCCTCCAGCAGTACATGGAGTATGAGTGATGTTCCCAATCTTAGATGGAAAGCATTTATCTTCACCACTGAGTATGATGTTAGCTGTAGGTGTTTAAGTAGATTCTCTTTATCAAAT